ATGAATATGTATATGTTGTTCTTCGCGATGAGTTAATATAAAAATGATTGATTGCTTTCATCTATTTGCAAGTCCTATGACCATTAAAAGTGCACTGGCTGAGAAAAATCTTATGAAAACAGCCATTATGCTGAATAATTCATTATGATAAAACAAAGGCATTTACTGAACAGCAGTGCCATTAAGTGGAAGCAGATATTTTGTTTTGCTTTAGATGACACAGTGTGTTGACCCCAACATGCTTTATGGAATGGGAAAGTTCACTACTTTTTGGCATGCAAATGGATTTATTTAACCACTTGCCCTCCAGAGGATTCCCCCCTCCTCCTCCCCTCCCTGACCAGGCCATTTTTTTGCGATACGGCGCTGCATTACTTTAACTGACAATTGCACGGTCATGCAACGCTGCACCCAAATGAAATTTACATAATTTTTCCCACAAAGAATGCTTTCTTTTGGTGATATTTGATTGCCTGTGCGTTTTTTATTTTTTGCGTTATAAACAAAAAACGACTGACAATTTTTTTTTACTTTTTGCTATTAAACATGTCAGTAAAATAATGTAAAAAATCTAATTTTATCATAAATTTAGGCCAAAATGTATTCTTTGCTAAAAAAAAATCCCAATATGTGTAAATTAATTTGTTTACGTGAAAATTATAGCGTTTACAAATGGCAGTATATATACTGTAATTTTTGAAAAATATTTTTTTTACTAGTAATGGCAGTAATCTGTGACTTATGGCGGGACTGCGTGACTACGGTGGGCATTCTGACACTGGGGGGAACTGACTTGGTGTCACTGACATTCCCAGTGACACCAATACAGCGATCAGTGCTAATAAAAAGCACTGACACTGTACTAATGGCACTGGGCAGGACGGGGTTAACACCTTGGGGCGATCAAAGGGTTAACTGTGTGCTCTGTGTGCTTTACTGTGTGCTATGAGCATGCTTCACTGTAAGCACACTGCTTTGTATGGCTTTGTATGGCCATACAAAGCAGTATGCAGGAGCTCACAGGGGAGAGATCTGTGTTGATTATACACAGGTCTCTCCCTGTTGGTAACACTCGGCAATCGCTGGGTGCTGGTGGGAAATCATTGGCCAGGACCCGGTGCTTGACAGCAGAGGCCACAAATGGTGGCGCGAGTCCCCTACCGGAAACCGCAAAATCACGTGTATATATATATATATATATATATGTGATTTTGCTCACCCGTGCCATCCTGTAGCAGTATGTGTGCTATAGGGTGGCGCGGAAGCAGTTAAAGGGTTGATACACCCAAAAATGAAATATGTGTATATAGATTTTTTTTTTTTTAAACTTAATTTCTGTTTAAAGGAGAAGTTTACATACTCACCTCTCTGCTGCAGCATCAGTTTAATGCTGCAGCTGTTCCCCACTGGCTACTACATGACCACTAATTGCTCAGTTCTTGGTCTACTCTCTGTCAGTCACCGCTGTCTGCTCTGCCCCTCTAGCACTCGCTGGATCACCAGGCTGGAGAAGGGCGGGAGCAGCTGACTCAGCCTCTCAGCTGTGTGTTGAGAGGCTGAAACAGTTGTTCATCAGGCATCAGGGTGGATCCCAACATTATTGTCAAGGTCCTTCCAGAGCTTGGAGCTGCATTTTATGTCAGCCGACAGTGGGCTTTAACACAAGTAAGTGCACTTTTGTGAACCACAAGAGAATTATGTCCATACTTCTATGTTAAGGATTATCCATTCATCCATCGTGATTTTTTCCTTATTGGCTATTTTTGAACCTGTGTTGTGTTATTTGTAAAAAAAAAAAACTAACTTTTAGGACAACAGACTATACCGCACAGGGTTCAGTCATTCAGTCTGACCTGATGTCCTTGTGGAATCCAGTAATTGGACCAGAAATTCTTCATTTTTGATAAGTTGTTGCCGATTTTCAAATATGACTTCCTGCATAGTAAAACCCTTCATTTTCTGCATATTATCTGTTGAGATTTGTTTTTCAAGCACTGTGTGAGTACAGGAAATCTGATATATCAGGAAATGTATATCTCGAGGTGTGATATGTTGAACATTGCCTTGGCCTTAGAGGGGAAGTAGAATTTATCTTGCATTCTCTGTGTAAATGATGTAGCAGATATAAGAAGCGCCACAGAAAATGCTAAATAAATCAAATAAGCAGCACCTCTAACCAAAAAAGGTAAAATAGTGTACAAATAAAAAGTGCGCTAATTATTCACAAAACATACAAGGATAAATAAGAAAAATAAATGAATTCATAAATATAAACATAAGTCCAGCCACCATAACAGTGATAGTCCAATATCAACTTAATGTCAATCTTGAAAACAAACACCCATGTGCAAATCCGACACCAGATGAAATGAATACACTCACCAGAGCTATATGCTGATTTATTATAAACCAGCATGATAGCATTTTGCTCTGGGAGCAATGATCTGCAGGATATCCCAGTAGGGGAACAGCAACCAATAGTAATCCAATCAGCACATATGGAACAGCTAGGCAGCAAATGATCTTCCAATAACATGGGCAAAGCTTGAGGAATAAGAAGAGATATGATGATGCAGTACGTTTAAAACCAGTAAAATTTTATTAATAAAGTATTGCACTCACAAAGAAGGTGTCTAGCCGCCCCTTGAAGACGTCAAGTGACGAAACGCGTTGGGCCTGGCCTAGTGGATGTGACGTTGGAACGTTCCTCCCAGCTGTCGGATGTTTGATCGCAGTGCAGGAGGTTCGTCCCTTGGTTTTTCTCTTGTGGATGTGGCATTTTAGAGGCTGTCATTGCTGGTGTCAGCTAGACACCTTCTTTGTGAGTGCAATACTTTATTAATAAAAATTTTACTGCATCATCATATCTCTTCTTATTCCTCAAGCTTTGCCCATGTTATTGGAAGATCATTTGCTGCCTAGCTGTTCCATATGTGCTGATTGGATTACTATTGGTTGCTGTTCCTCTACTGGGATATCCGGCAGATCATCGCTCCCAGAGCAAAATGCTATCATGCTGGTTTATAATATAATCAGCATATAGCTCTGGTGAGTGTATTCATTTCATCTGGTGTCGAATTTGCACATGGGTGTTTGTTTTCAAGATTGACATTAAGTTGATATTGGACTATCACTGTTATGGTGGCTGGACTTATGTTTTATATTTATAAATTCATTTATTTTTATTATCTATCCTTGCATGTTTTGTGAATAATTAGCTAAAAACCCACTAGTCCTGTTTTTTTTCCAGCCAAAAAATGCCCCTGCCAAAAAATGTTCATTACGGCCTATGTGTACATGGACATATAGGATAACATGCTGACTGGTTGTAGGAACAACAAAAGTAAAAAAAAAAACAGCTGCTGTAAAAATGTCCAGTGTGCATGAGGACTAAATGTAGCTGAGCTGTGCATGTGTGGCTCAGTGTGCTGACAGGCAGGGAAAGACAATAGAGTGTCTCCTGTCAAAAATATCCAGCCTTCCTTCCTTCCATTAAATATCCTACTGTCAGCTTTTTTTTTTAGACTTTAAGGTTTATTTCATAATTTAAGTCTAAGGGTTATCATGAAGAGTTGCATTACTCCTTGTCTAAAGGTATTAATGTCCATCACAGGCTCACCCAAATATTCCAGGTGCTGTAGTGAAGTAGTGGATGGCCATTACCTCATGTTCCACAGGATCTTTTGATAGTTAGTTTTTCTTTCCATACATGGCTCAGGTATCTAGCCAATGCTCAGTGCTTCCATGTGAGAGCTAACAAACTCATTGACAATACACAGACACTAATTGCAATTTAAAAAGCCACAGATGTGGGAAATTAATATTTAATTGCCATTTTAACCTGTGCAAGTTGGGCCAAACATTTCAGGGGATGGAAACTTTTGATCTGGGCCGTTTGGTGATTTCTGTTATCATTATGATTTAAAAAAGGGTCAATGGATAGGCCGGGATGTATTGACAATTACTCCTGAGCATGAAAAGCTCACACCATTATCGCACAAAGCTATCCTATAAGGTTCCATGCACACGGGGCGTTTTTTAAAAAACGCTGGTAATGTTAGCTGTGTATAGTCATGTTAAAAACGTGAGTTTTTCAGTGTTTTTTTAGCATTTAGCTGCATTCTGCCATGTTTTTTCGCATTTGAGTTTTTCAGTTTTTTTTTACCAAAAAAAAAAAAATGATTTTTGCTCAAAAAAACATCCAAAAATGTTGGTGTGCCACGATTTACCATGTTTTTACCGTGTTTTGCAGCGTTAGAGCATTTTGACAGCTAAAAAAACACCTCTAAAAACCCACTAGTCCTGTTTTTTTTTCCAGCCAAAAATGCCCCTGCCAAAAAATGTTGATTACGGCCTATGTGTACATGGACATATAGGATAACATGCTGACTGGTTGTAGGAAACAACAAAAGTAAAAAAAACAGCTGCTGTAAAAATGTCCAGTGTGCATGAGGACTAAATGTAGCTGAGCTGTGCATGTGTGGCTCAGTGTGCTGACAGGCAGGGAGAAGACAATAGAGTGTCTCCTGTCAAAATATCCAGCCTTCCTTCCTTCCATTAAATATCCTACCTGTCAGCATTTTTTTAGACTTTGGGGTTTATTTCAAATTTAAGTCTAAGGGTTACATGAAGAGGTAGCATTACTTGTCTAGAAGGTATTGTGTCCATCACAGGCTCACCCAGGAGTTCATGTAAGGTGCTGTAGTGAAGTAGTGGATGGCGTCATTATGCCAGTCATAGGAATACAAGGATCTTCGCCAGCACTCCTTGGTATAGTTAGAACCTTGGCCTTTATTCACATACAGTAACAGGTATCACAGGCCAATGTTTAGGAACCTCGTAGGATCCCTAACATTGGCCTGTGATGTAGGGTTGCCACCTCATCCCTTTAAAAAACCGAACACATATTAATTATACAGGTTCTGTGGTTGATTAAAGTGTTACTACACCCCGCATTCACTATATCTGGTCTCCCCAGACCCTGCATTCACTATATTTTGTCTCCCAGGACCCTGCATTCACTATATTTGGTCTCCCAGGACCCTGCATTCACTATATCTGGTCTCCCAGGACCCTGCATTCACTATATCTGGTCTCCCCGGACCCTGCATTCACTATATCTGGTCTCCCTGGACCTTGCATTCACTATATCTGGTCTCCCAGGACCCTGCTTTCACTACATTTGGTCTCCCAGGACCCTGCAGTCACTATATCTAGTCTCCCTGGACCTTGCATTCACTATATCTGGTCTCCCCGGACCCTGCTCACTATATCTGGTCTCCCAGGGACCCTGCATTCACTATATTTGGTCTCCCAGGACCCTGCATTCACTATATCTGGTCTCCCGGGACCCTGCATTACTATATCTGGTCTCCCAGGACCCTGCTTTCACTATATTGGTCTCCCAGGACCCTGCAGTCACTATATCTAGTTTGGTCTCCCTGGACCTTGCATTCACTATATCTGGTCTCCCCGGACCCTGCATTCACTATATCTGGTCTCCCGGGACCCTGCATTCACTATATCTGGTCTCCCAGGACCCTGCTTTCACTACATTTGGTCTCCCAGGACCCTGCAGTCACTATATCTGTCTCCCTGGACCTTGCATTCACTATATCTGGTCTCCCCGGACCCTGCTTTCACTACATTTGGTCTCCCAGGACCCTGCAGTCACTATATCTGGTCTCCCCGGACCCTGCTTTCACTATATTTGGTCTCCCAGGACTTTGCAGTCAATATATCTGGTCTCCCAGGACCCTGCAGTCATTATATCTGGTCTCCCCGACCCTACATTCACTATATCTGGTCTCCCAGGACCCTGCATTCACTATATCTGGTCTCCCAGGACCCTGCATTCACTATATCTGGTCTCCCCAGACCCTGCATTCACTATATCTGGTCTCCCCGGACCCTGCATTCACTATATCTGGTCTCCCCGGACCCTGCATTCACTATATCTGGTCTCCCCGGACTCTGCTTTCACTATATCTGGTCTCCCAGGACCCTGCATTTACTATATCTGGTCTCCCACAGTACACAGAACATGGAAATGCAATTATCTTTGTAAATATAAACTGCTAAATACTTTTTCTCATCAGCAGTTAGAACAGTCTTGTGACTTCTATCAGTGCCCAGCAGAGCACTGGTTAAAGCTTGTAGGAGTTTTCTTTCTACTCTACAAGGATGCAAAGCCCCTGACCCTCTGTCTGAACAGTGCTGATTGGCCCTGTGCTGATCACATGCACTCTTCCAAGAAAAAAAAAAACGCTCTAGCAATACACACTAAACTGAGCATGTGCATGTGGCTACAGGGCTCAGTCTGTCTTATCAGGTGGACATTTGAACAAGAGGAAGGGCAGAGAAGAAAGGATCAAATGGTCTTCTTACACAATGCAGAGGATTAACCCCGTAGGTTTCACAGTGAGTATACCTATATGGAAGGAAAATATATTTGAAATATATTGTAAAAATATTCTTTCCAAATATATTGACATATATTTTAAATGCTACAATTATGGCCATATTCAATATATTTTAAAATATATTTCAATACATATATATACACTGCATGTTGAAATAACATACCCATGTGGGCAGGGGTGGACTGACAACTCATGGGGCCCCCGGGCAATAGGGGATCATGGGGCCCCCGGGCAATAGGGGATCATGGTAAAGTCAGTGGCTTGAACTACATGAACTCCTGGGTGAGCTTGTAAGCAGTGTGACGGACAAAAAAAAAAAAAGGAATCCTTCAAGGTCCCCAAACATCAACCTGTGACTTACCTGACTACCTGCTTTAGTTGGCTCCAGCACTCTCCTCTTCTCTCAGAAATTCCAGTCTGTGAGCAGTCCCTTGGCATCATTATGTACAAAGCAGTGCTATTAACCTTGTATTGTATGTGGTATGGGCAGGGGCGGACTGACAACTCATGGGGCCCCCGGGCAATAGGGGATCATGGGGCCCCTGTGTCCTTGCCCAAACTCAAAAAAGCCTATGAAAAAAGGTACCAGGGGCATCTCATGGGGCCCCCTACTGACCCCGGGCCCTCGGACAGTGCCTGAGTTTTCCAAATGGTCAGTCCGCCCCTGGGTATGGGTGAGAGCAATAGGGGGCTTTGGGGGACTGGTCGCACTGATGGACGGAATCTGCTGGAGCAATGAAAGAGGTAAGGGCCAGTTCACACCACATTCAGTCCAGTGCATTTTTTTCTGCATCAAAAACGCATTGATAGTAGGTTACATGGTTTCCAATGGCATAGTTCACTCCAGTGCATTCCAGTTCCAGAAAAAAAGTGGAGCATGCTGCATTTTTTTCTGCACTGAACTGTACTGGAACACAGTAAAACAAATAAAAAATGCCCCAAAAACGCACTGGAATGCACATGACCTTATTAAGTTGAAGAAAAAGAGAGGAGAAAAAATGAACTTGAAGGCATGAAAAATGCATCAAAATGTGCATACAAGGGAGAATGTCACCAACACACTGAGGATCACCAATATGGCTCCAAAAGTTTTAGCCCCGGTTCACATATATGTGGCTGTGTGGGCCGCGATTAGCGTGGGCACGAGAGCCCATTCATTTGAATGGACTTCCGTGCCCCATGAAACGCAGGGAAGAAGTCATGCACTTCTTCAAAAAACGCAGCCCGCATGGGAACCTCAGTTCCCAGTACGGTTGCGTTTTCCAGTGCGGGCGGCGTGCCATTGGAACTAATGGTACCCGCCCGTGGGTTCGCATTTCTCTGTGTGGGTAGTGCGGCTGCACAGATTTTTGTGCAGATCCGCCATAGATGTGAACCTAGCTTAAATGAACAATCACATAGTTACAGCAAGGCAATGTTTCGGAGTCTCGCAGGACACCGTCAAATGCCAGATCAAGGGATCCTGCGAGACTCCGAAACGTTGCCTTGCTGTAACTATGTGATCGTTCATTAAAACGTTTGGACCCATATTGGTGATCCTCGGCGTTCTGGTGACATCCTTCCTTGCTGATTTTGTTCGGTTCCAGCCGACGGTCGCTGCAGCACCCACTTATACACACAGCCATTTTTAATGCATGAACGTGTGTGTTTGGATTGTACACTTGCAAAATGTGCATACCTATACGTTTTCCAGCAGTCAGTTTCCATCGTTCAGGAAGTGTTTTCCAAAACGCCCCGCGTACATGGAGCCTTACATGCTCATTAAGTCCAGGAGGTTGCAGAAGAGGACTCTGTAAGGGCTCATGTACGTGGGGCGTTTGGAAAACACTTCTGAACGATGGAAACTGACTGCTGGAAAACGTATGTTAAAAAACGTTCTGTGTTTAGCCACGTTTGCATACCGCGTTTATGAGCGTTTGTATTTAGAAGCGTTTTTAAAAGATAACCTCAGGAGACCTTCCAAAATGCCCAGAATGCACTGAAAATAGTAAAAAATTAACTATTTCAGAAGTTTTGAGAGAAATAGAGAGAGCAGAAGCAGAGAGAGCAGTATGTTTGAGATGATCTGTCTTTTCTGGTTGTATTTACTATGGATCCCATCAGGAGAATAATGCGGCGCGTTCTATCATTCTTCCCTTCACGCGAAACCTGGAACTGACTGCGCTGGTGTACCGGATCTATATGAATACACGGAAAACGCTTTGCATGCATTCTAATGATGAAAAAAGGCTCTGGACAGCATCTGGATATGGAACAGTTAAAAAACGCTTCTAAATGCAAACGCTTATGAACGCGATTAACCGCGCATTCTTACACGCGTTTACAAGCATTTGGCATTTGAAACGCTGATAAAATCTACTCCTGAAGGTTTTGGTGCGTTTAAAAAAACAACTGTAAACTCAACTGCCTGTAAACGACTGTAAATGACGATTTTGTACATGGACACATAGGAAAACATTAGGGAGGTTCAGGGGCTGCTGAAAAAAACGCAGAAAAGCTCCTGAATGTCAGTTTATCAGCTGCAGTGTACATGAGCCCTAACTCTTGCAGTGTAGGGGGCCCACTTTTTGTTGTACAAGAACTGGGCTTTATCCATAAGTATCGGATGGCTAAACAATTATGAAGCTGGACTGTATATTCAACAATAAAGCAGTCATGTGATCGGCCATCATCATGAGTTTATGTACAGAGGTATCTTTAATCTATTGTATATTAGACTGCCATATTTATCTTGTTATATATTGTATACAATCTCAATTAGTAACAATTAATCACTTCAATTTAAAATCAATGAATGAATATGAGACCTTTTTAAAGCGAATATAAACAAAGAAAGTCGATGGTATTTACCTCCAGTTCAGAATTTAAATTAGTTGAAACTTTCTATTTATTTGACCATCTCAAAAGGTCACACCACAAACAACAATCTGAATCGGAATATTGTATGTATGCGGAGAGCAATTGGCAGAAAAAGTGACTTAAAGGGATCCCTGCTTGATGTTAGGGAGACATCTAGAAATGGTCAGAGGTTTAGGAGACAATTTTTAACCACTTCAAGTCTGGACACTTTCACCCCCTTCCTGTCCAGGCCAATTTTCCGATTGCCTCTCGGGGGACCAAGGAAGGAATTGTTTTCCCTACGGGAGCAAATTGGATTTAAGGCGACTATACTGTAAATACTGTATATAAAAAAAAACATTGGGAAGGATGCTCCAGTAGATGGCTGGGATTTGACTTTAATGAAAACCTCCAAGGACCCACATGTTAGGATAGCACAGAATTTCTGCAGGAAAGAAAATCCAGTATAACCGTCAGACAGGTAGAATTTCCTCTGGAATTTTCGGCTGTTAAAGTACACAGGAGATATGAAGATGTACTTTACCCTAGGTAAACACTGCACAACACATGTTGTTACGCCCATCAAAATCCAAAAAAAATATCTTTTTTTACCCATCTTATTCTAGGATAGTGAGCAGAACCACGCCAATCATTCAGTTTTACCCTGGGTCAAGTGTCCATCCAAAACTGTGGTTTTACAACATGGGTACAGGCTAATAATATAAGAGCTAGTTACGGTATATCTGACTGCGTACAGCTGTTACAGATATGTTATCATTGCAGTGTATGAAAAAAAAATGTGTTTTTTTTTATAGAGCTTAAATTCCAGATATGGCAATTTACATATACACACAGGTATAGAACATACATACTTACAGTTGTGCCCAAAAGTTTGCATATCCTGACAGAAATCATGAAATTTTGCCATTTATATTGAAAATATGACCAAAACATTGTCTTTTATTTAAGGACAGTGATCATATGAAGCCATTTATTATCATAGCTGTTTTTACTCCCGTTTAAACCATAATGATAACAGAAATCACCCAAATAGTCCTGATCAGGGGCGGACTGACCATTTGGAAACTCGGCCACTGCCCGAGGGCCCGGGTCAGTAGGGGGCCCCATGCGATGCCTCTGGTACCTTTTTCATAGGCTTTTTTGAGTTTGGGCAAGGACACAGGGGCCCCATGATCCCCTATTGCCTGGGGGCCCCATGAGTTGTCAGTCCGCCCCTGGTCCTGATCAAAAGTTTACATACCTTGGAATGTCTGGCTTTGGTACAGACACAAGGTAACACACACGGGTTAAAGTGGCAAAGGTTATTTTCCCACATCTGTGGCTTTTTAATTTGCAATTAGTGTCTGTGTATATGAAGGGATCTCATAACATTCCTCTTCTTAATAAGTAAATGAACAATACTAACTGGTATATGCTAGGCTTTTGGATACTTTTTATATCCTTTTCCATCATTACCTTGTTACGCAGTTCTTTTGACAGTTCTTTTCTGCTCCCCATGGCTCAGTGTCTAGCCTGCTCAGCACATTCACGTGAGAGCTAACAAACTCATTGACTATTCATACACAGACAGTAATTTTACTGTTTTAGACCCAGTTTCCTTCTCAGTGCATCCACGTGAGAGCTAACAAACTCATTGACTATTCATACACATATACTAATTGTACTGTTTTAGATGCAGTATACGTCCTTCTTAAAGCAAATCTTCAGGCATTGTATAACGCATTATTAATGCATTATGGCATTGTATAATGCAGAGTAAGGTTAAAGCCTTTGCCAGAGGTTTATCACTGATCGAAAAGTGATTGTGCAGAGGAGCTCCAATCACAATCTGGTTTCGCAGTGTGGAGTGAAATCTATGTTGCAGACTGCAATAGCACCTCAGAAGTAGTTTGGAGATTGTGCGAGAAGTGGTAGTTTTACACCAATGTTTTTTAAATGCAAAATTGTTGCGTTAAATAGGTTATAGGACAACGTGTTTCGGGGGCTTATTAGGTACCCAGCTTTCATCAAGGCTCAAATATGTGGATTAGAAGGTAGTGTCACGGTCAGGGGTCAGGCTTGGAGACCAGTAGCTATAGAGAGGTTCCCACCCACCTGTAGGATGAGTACACAAGTAGGTTACCCCAGCAGATGATGCGGGCTCATCCGAAGTTCGGGGTCTAAGCACTAACTGGTATTCACTAGAGTTCCTGATGGTGGAGATGGGTTTTGCTGCATGTTGGTACCAGGTCACAGTCCTCAGGATCGCTCCACCAGGAGGTGAGCAAGCTGGGGTCCAGCAACCCAGGTTGGTAACAAGTGGCTGCAGGTTGGGATCAAGCGGAAGCGTAGTCGAGGAACAAGCCAAAGGTAACATATGGTAGTGAAGATAAAGACAGCTGCAGAGAGCAAGATATCAGCTGGAGAGGGCATAATAATCTGGCAAACAGGAAGCACAGTGACACGGCTTAAATCAGGAACTTCATGGGGGGAGCACAGAGCTCAAGGTTCACCAGATCAAAAGACAAGGCAAGATTGTCCTAAGAGATCAGACAGGGAGCTGTCCAACATCTCAGGTGGCAGTGCGAGAAGAGCCAGAGCTAGACACCACAGAGGTCACAGGTTCAGATCTGGACCCTTATGGGTAGAAGGCAAGCTGCAGCAGTATAAGGCCTGCTTTATCTCAGTTTACTCCTATGTCCAATAAATCCGCCATTCTTTCCCATCCAGCCATTTATTGAACCTTGATGACGGGGGACTTGACAGCTCTAGGAACTTGATGGATTGTAGCCTGGAGATTTATGTCTGTGGTTGTCATTGTGGAGGAGTAGGCATTTCTAGGCAGGTTGCATTTGCATGCATACTGACCTAATTATGGCCAACAGTTGATGTTTGATTAAACAAACTTCAATCCAAATGAAAATCCAATGAATTAAAGGGATAGGCCAGGGACAATAAGGCTGGGGAGGGATTTGCTGAATGTTCTGCAGCCAGGAAATAAAACAGGCTATATCTGAGTTGCTGTAGCTTCTAATGCACACTGTGAGAAGCTCATAGTGTGCAGTGAAATCAGAGTTAGCAATTTCAGCACAGGAGAAGAGACTGAACAACTGTGCAAGACTACAGCTAAGGCTGAAGTTCAACATTGAAGAGATTAGGTCCCATTAAGTGTCCATGGACGTTCCTCTGGCACATGAAAGAAAATGTTCCATTAAGAGTCATAATACCCATGAGTAAACAGGAAATTGAGGAGCTTTCTGCGGAGTCAGCTCTGCTTTCTGTGTGGGTAGGGCAGAAAAATATGAAGTGAGAAGTTTGTGGTTTATGAGGGGAAGCCCAAGAATGACTGACTGATTCTATTTGTATGTACAGGAGAAGATCCCGAGTGCCTTTTTGTTCCACAAACCAGGGAGGCCAATCACTATGTTTGATCAAACTAGGAATGCTCACTTTTTGACTATTCTATATATAGCCATCTACATCAATGGTGGAGAAGGATCTGGGGGTTCTGGTAGATCACAAGCTTAATAATGGCATGCAATGCCAAGCTGCGGTTTCTAAAGCGAGCAAAATCCTCTCTTGTATTAAAACGGGTATAGACTCCAGAGAGAGAGATATCATTTCCCCCGGTACAAATCATTAGTAACACCTCATCTGGAATATGCAGTTCAGTTTTGGGCACCAATTCACAAAAAGAACATTGGGGAACTGGAGAAAGTACAGAGAAGGACAACTAAACTGATATGAGGCATGGAGGAGCTCAGCTATGAGGAAAGATTAGAGGAACAGAATTTATTCTCTCTTGAGAAGAGGAGAATAAGTGGGGATATGATCAACATGTATAAATACATCAGTGGATCATATAGTGAACTCGGTGTAGAGCTATTCACCCTGAGGTCATCACAGAGGACAAGGGGGCACTCTTTACATCTGGAGGAAAAGAAATGTAATCTCCAAATACGGAAAGGTTTCTTCACAGTAAGAGCTGTGAAAATGTGGAATAGACTCCCTCAAGAGTTGGTTCTGGCCAGCTCAGTGGATTGCTTTAAAAAAAACACCTGGATTCTTTCTTAGATACACAGAATATAACTGGATACTAACATTTATAAGTAAAGTTGATCCAGGGAATATCTGATTGCCTCTCGGGGGATCAGGAAGGAATTTTTCCCCTGCAGGAGCAAATTGGGTCATGTTTTGCTGGGTTTTTTTTGCCTTCCTCTGGATCAACTGTGGGTGTAGGATTATAACCTTTTCGGTTGAACTGGATGGACGTTTGTCTTTTTTCAGCGAGATTAACTATGTAACATCAACCTGACCTGTAGTTATTGAATTATTTTTGGAATTTAGGATTCCGACTGATTAAGGTTCATCAGCTGTATGAATTCCTGCAGATTGAAAAAAAAATTAGATGCCCTAGCCACACAAGCCAAAGGAAGCCTGAAAGACTCCATTTGCTCGTTCTGTGCCTGTGACACCTATGACCAATGTTTAGAACAGTGGGGCAAGCTGTCACCCTACTCTGCTGGTAGCATTTTTCTAGCTGTACGGAGCCATAGTGGGTGAACCATGAGTATTTCACCAACAAATATCTGCTTTTACAGTATACCTCACAGATTTCAGATTTTTTCCTTCATGACTATAGACCAGTCTTTCTTAACCTTTTTACCTTAGAGTAACCCTTAAAATAATTTTTAGGTCTCGAAGATAACTTTCTAAAAAATACTGCATCAACAGCTTAAGGCACATCAGCGTGATCAGTAAACTGTACATATATAATTTAATGAAAGAATGTGGGTTACTTTGATACCTAGAGAACCCCTTGCTCCATATGACAAAATCATTTTTAATAATCATAAAATGATTAATAATAAGAGGAAATACACATTGTAGTGTCCCTTACATAGATGGTCAGTAAAGAAATGCCCCGTTACATGGTGGTCAGTGTAGTGTCCTCTTACATTGGTATTCAGTGGAGCATGTACTTTTATATTGTTGGCTACTGAAAAAGAGACAATTTTACAGTAATGTTCAAGGGAAAGAATCCACCCGCCTCTCCCTATTTATATAAAACCTAAAAACGAAGAACCGAAGTTTGTACTGTGTAGACATGGCTACATGGTTACATGGTGGTCAGTGTAGTGTCCTCTTACATTGGTATTCAGTGGAGCATGTACTTTTACATTGTTTGCTACTGAAAAAGAGCCAATTTTACAGTAATGTTCAAGGGAAAGAATCCATCCGCCTCTCCCTATTTATATAAAACCTAAAAACGAAGAACCGAAGTTTGTACTGTGTAGACATGGCTCTTTGTACTGTTAATGCTACAGGACTTACCAAGGTCTTTGGTTCCGCTTCAGATGATGGTTTGCTGTTCACTTCTTTTTATTGCAATTCTGTTTTGCACCCTTGTGGGAATGCCATCTCTCATTCTGTGGAAGTGATTCTCACACCTATTTGTGCAAACTTCTATGCGTTTCTTTTAAATAAAGAATTTAAAAAAAGTTACATTGGTAGCTTGAGGAAAGATTTCATCATTACAGTGGTGGTCAATTGAGCATGTACTCTTACATTGGTGGTTGGTGGAGAAGGTCCATGTTTACGCTAGTATAGAATGGAAAGGATAACCAGTTACATTGGTGGCTGGAAGGAAGATTGCACCATTAGATTGATGGCCAGTGGAGCATGAACCCTTACATTGGAGGTTAGTGGAGAAGGGACACTTTTACATTATTGGTCAATGGAAGAAACTATTGGCTAGAGAGAAGAATGCAGCATTATACTGGAGGTCAATGGAGCATATTGGTGGCTAGTTGAGAAAGGCCATTTTTACACTAGTGGTCGAAGGAAAGAATACCTAGATTCATTGGTGGCCAGAGGGAAGAATGCACCATTGCACTGGTGGTCAGTAGAGCATATACTCTTACATTGGTGGTTAGTGGAGAAGGGCCACTTTTACGCAGTGGTTAAAAGAAAGAATAGCCAGTTAAATAATTGGCCAGAGGGAAGAATGCATCATTATATTGGTGGTAGATGGTGCATGTATCCTTGTATTGGTGGTTAGTGGAGAAGGGCCACATTTATGCTTATGGTTAATGGAGGGAATACCCAGTTACATTACTGGTCGTAGAGAAGAATACACCATTACACCATTAGGGAAGAATGCATCATTATATTGGTGGTCAGAAAGCATGTACCCTTGTTTTGGTGGTTAGCAGAGAAGAGCCACTTTTACGCT